CCACGCCTCAGCGGTCTCCCAGGCCCGACGCCTCCCCTCCTCGCGCCCGAGGAAGAAGCGCAGCCGCAGCCGCGGCCGCGCCAAGGGCCGGGACCGCAGCGCCAGCCGCCAGCGCAGCCAGAACAGCAGCGGCAGCGCCTCGCGCAGCCGCAGCCGCGAGGAGCCGCACCGATGGCCCGCGCGGTGGGGACGGGGACGGGGAGGAGGAGGAGGAGGAGGAGGAGGAGGAGGAGGAGGAGGCGGAGGAGGAGGAGGAGGGAGAGGAGGAAAAGGAGGAGGAAGAGGAAGAAGAAGAAGAAGACGAATCATAATAGTAATAATAATACTAATAATAATATTAATAATAATAATATGAATAATAATAATAATACTAATAATAGTAATAATAATCAGAATTCTAATAATAATAATAAGAAGGATAATAATACGAATAAGAATAATAATAATAATAACAATAATATAATAATACTAATACTAATAATAATAATAATATGAATAATAATTAGACGACGAATAATAATAACAATAATCATAATCATATGATTAGTAATATGAATAATAATAATAAGAAAAAGAAGAAGACGAAGAAGACGAAGAAGAGGAGGAGGAGGAGGAGGAGGGGGAGGGGGACGGGGGACGGGGGCGGTGCAGGAGCCGCTCCACCGGGAAGGCCCTCCACGTCTGCCTCCGCTGTCGGAGCGCGGCTTACCGCTCGGGCAGGGGAGGCCCTCGGCATCGGAGAGGCGGCACAGGGAAGAAGCTTTGGCGAAGCGCCACGACGTGCTTGCAGGCCCACCAGGGAACAAGGTGCGCCCTCGAGGGCGCGAAGTTATTCGCGCTTCGCGGTTCGGCTCCGATTCCTCCTCACCCTCCACTTCTCCCCTGGGAGGCGGCGCGAGAGCGCGAAGTTATTCGCGCTTCGCGCAGCGCGACGCGCGAAGTTGGGAGCCCCAGGGAAGGTTTTGGGGGAGCCTGTCTGCGATCTGCACGAAATGTCCTCAGAGCATGTCTTGCTGGGACCGCCCTGTTTTGATACATCGCCTTCGTGCTCCATGAGCACTGGTTTTGTTAGTAGAGCGTTCTTTTGTTCTAGGAGCACTTCGTGGTAGGCCCCTATAGGAATGCCTGGACGGTCGCTCCCTGCTCAAAGGGAGGAACAGATCGGGGAAACATGAGACGACACTGAGGTCAGCCGCGGGCCGCCGTACCGAACCCCACTGGGGGGGGGGGGGCCAAAGGGAGGATGCAGAGAGAGAGAGAAAGAGAGAGAGAGAGAGAGCACCGTGCCCCAGCATCGCTGGAGCGCTCTGGCGAGGTCGCGGTCGTGGGCGAGCAGCTGGGCGGGTAGCCCATTTTCTCCTTGCTTCTTCTCTCCGCCTCCCTCCTGTGTCATGCAGTGCCAATTCTACGGCACGACTGCCTTTCGGACTAGTGAGAGAGAGGGGTAGAAAAAGAGAGAGAGAGAGAGAGATGAAAGAAATGGGGGAAACGTAAGTAAGACTCGTGTTCGCTGGAGATTGGGTTTTCCAGCGCTTTTTGACGGGCCCGTTATGGGTTTTTGACGGTTCAGTCTGCGTGTGATGTTTGCAGCCGGAGCTCGCGTCAGATTTCAGATAATCTGAAATTTGACGGCCTTGTCAGGCCATCCCGAGGCCCTCGAACCTGAGCCTGATCACGTCTCCCCAAACAGAACGAGGGAGGGACAGAGGGCCCAGGGGACGATGTTTCGACATTTTCAGTTTTCGCACGTTCTCGTTGGTTCTCGGCGGTTGTCCAGCCGAGGGCCTCGGGGTGCTCTCCAGCTGCTGCACTTCGCCAATGGCGTTGGGGTGCCCAGATCGTCCCGAGCGGCCGCCAGAGACCCGAGTGTCGACCCGAAAACCAGACGACGAGGATCATTGGCGGGGATGGGCTCAGAGGGGCGTGCAACCGATGTTGTGGTATCGGACATCCTCGCCAGAGTTCACTCGGCTGCGGACGTCGTTCGGATTCCGAGCCCCAGCCGGCGTTTCAGAAGTTTGGCCTGCAGAAGTCTGGCCTGCAGGGGTAAGGTTCGCGTTTGTACACGAGTCACGGTTCTGTCGATTTGGCTGCGGCGTCGTTGCTGCTGCGTCGCTGAGTCCCCGTCGGCTGTTTTCGGCGGGCTGCAGTTTCGATCGGTTAGCGGTCTTGCGCTCGGTTTGGTCGGTTGCGGGCTTTGCTGCCGCCGTGGGCAGCCTCGAGCAAGGAGGCGGCGCGGCGGCGGGAGGGCGGAGAAACTGGGGAGGAGGGCATGACATCGTCCTTCCCCCTCTCCCGCCCTTCACCCTCGCTGGGTGCCGGGGGAGTTGCAGTTTCCTGCGACGGCGGGGGCGCAGACGAGTGGCAGACTCTAACGTCAGATGTGCCTTCTCCTCTTGTGAGAGAGCAGGAGGAGGAGGACGAGGAGGAGGAAGAGGAGCAGGAGGAGGAGGAAGAGGAGGAGGCGGAGGAGGCGGAGGCGGAGGAGGAGGCGGAGGAGGCGGAGGCGGAGGCGGAGGAGGAGGAGGAGCAGGAGGAGGAGGAGGAGGAGGAAGAGGAGGAGAAGACCTCTTGGCGGCCCCTCCCAGCGCCCGCCCGCCTCGCGCGCAGGAGCCGCCGAAGCGCAAGAGGCGGAAGCCCTCGCCCTCCGAGGAGAGCGGCGGCAGCGGCAGCGGGGCGGAGGAGCAGGAGGAACAGGAGGAGGAGGAGAAGGAGGATTAGGAGGAGGAGGAGGAGGAGGAGGAGGGAGGAGGAGGAGGGGCATGAGGAGGAGGAGGAGGAGGAGGAGGAGGAGGGGAGGAGGAGGATGAGGAGGAGGGGCGTGAGGAGGAGCAGGAGGAGGAGGAGGAGGAGAGGAGCAGGAGGAGGAGGAGGAGGAGGAGGAGGAGGAGGAGGAGGAGGAGGAGGAGGAGGAGGAGGAGGAGGAGGAGGAGTGGGAGGAGGAGGAGGAGGAGGAGCAGGAGGATGGAGGATGCAGGGCGAGGTGGAGAAGGAGGAGGAAGGAGGATGCAGGAGGCGGCGGAGGATGAGGAGGCGGAGGAGGAGGAGGAGGCGGAGGAGGAGGGCGAGGAAGAGAAGGAGGATACAGAGTAGGGCCCAAGAAGCGCCCAAGACGGCCCAAGAGGGTCCCAAGACGGCCCAAGAGGGGCCCAAGCAGGGGACCACGAACCGAACATTCGATATTTGTGCCCCGAAAAGCTCCCAGGAGGCCCCAAGAGGCCGCCAAGAGGTCCCAAGAGGCGTCCAAGAGGCCTCCGAGAGGCCCAAAAGATACCCCACGGGGCCCCAAGAGGCCCCCAAGAGGCGCCCAAACCGCCTCCAAGAGGCCTCCGAGAGGCTCCCCACGACGCCCCAAAACATATACAAGAGGCCTCAGACCCACAACCCAGGCACGGTGACGGGATGGGCCGAATGCCCCTCGGATAACGCCAACGTCCCAATATGCGCCGATGACTCCTATCCACCCCCGCATGATGTTCCCAGATGCGCCAAGACGCACCGACGCGACTCTGATACATCCTAGTATGATACAGAGGGGACGGCGGCAGGGGGCGAAACCCTTACGGATAATAGTAAGAATGCTAAACATACGCATGGTAACATATATCGGTAACAATAACACAAATAATGCGAATACTACGAATGCTAATAATTTTAATACTCATAATAACATCAATGATAATACGAATGACATTATAGTAATAATCATAATAATACTAATGCTACTAATAATAATAATGAAAATCATATTGATGATGATAATATTAATAATAAGAATAATAATATAGATGATCAATAATAATATTAATAATACTATTAGTAATAACAATACTACTAGCAATGACACTAACAATGCGAATTATAATGCTAACACTTGTCGTAGTTATATGACTCTTAATGCTGTATATTATATAAATATTAGTAATATTAGTATAAGCTACCAGTCGCAATGGTACTAACACGAGAGCAGTGATGATAGAAAGAGCGTGTTCTACCGCTGCTGGCGGAAAACCGGGGGGGGTCACTGCCGGTTCGAACCCCTCCCCCCCCCCCCTGGAAAACCGTGGGGGGTCACTACCAGTTCGAACCCCTCCCCCCCCCCCCAGTTCATCATGAAAAGGGGGGGGGTCACTACCGGTTCGACCCCCCCCCCTCGAAAACCGGGGGGGGTCACTACCGGTTCGAACCCCCCCCCCCTCGAAAACCGAGTGGGGGTGCGGACAGTGGTGGGGACGGTGTTGGTGGGGACAGTGGTGAGGGGACAGCGGGACAGTGGTGGGGACAGTGGGACAGTGGGACAGTGGTGGGGACGGTAGTGGTGGGGACAGTGGTGGGGACAATGGTGGGAACAGGGGGGACAGTGGACAGTGGTGTGGACAGTGGTGGGGACGGTGGTGGTGGGGACAGTGGTGTGGGGACAGTGGGAATGAGGTGGAAACAGTGGGACAGTGGAGGGTACAATGGTGGTGGGGACAGTGGTAAAGGCGGTGGCGAGGACGGCGGTGGGACAATGGGACAGAGGTACAGTGGGGACAGTGGTGGGGACAGTGGGGACAGTGGTGGGAACAGTGGGACAGCTCAGTGGGACAGCGGAGGAGTCAGTGGGACAGTGGGGACAGTGGGGATAGTCGGGCAGTGGTTGGGGCCGTGGAGACAGTGGGGAGAGTGGAACCGTGGTGGGAACAGTGGTGGGGACAGTGGGGACAGTGCGACAGTGGTGGGGGCACTGGTGGGGACAGTAGGGACGGTGGTGGAACCAGCGGGAACAGTGGTGGTGAGGACAGTGGCGCTGGGAACAACAGTGGGGGATGTGATGCGGACGGTGGTAGGGACCGGGAGTCGTTTGCTGGCGGTGCGTGGGGGGGGGTCGAACCGGTTGTGACCCCCCTCCGGTTTTCGAGGGGCGGGGGGGGGTTCGAACGGGTAGTGACCCCCCCCAGTTTTCCGATCCGGAGGGGGGGAGGGTTCGAACCGGTAGTGACCCCCCCCGTTTTCGAGGGGGGGGGGGGGGTGGGGGAGGGTGTTAGGGGAGGAGGGGGGTTTTCCCGGGGGAGGGGCGGGGGGGGGTTCCAGCAGGGGGGGAGGGATTTCGGAGGGGGAGGAGGGGGGCGACCCCCGGGTTCCGGAGGAAAAGGTTGGCAATTTTCCACAGTAAAGCGGCGGTGGATCACGCTCTCTCTCTGATGATACTATCCATAACGATGGCAATAGTAGAAACAATAACCATACTGATACCATTAAGAAACACTGTCCATAATGAATACACGAATGATATGGGTAATGATACTATTCTTGAAGAAGCAATGCGAAATGAGGATTAGAAGCGGACGAATGGAACGAATCATAATAAGAATCACAATAGCGATACCAAATATGAAATTAATGATCATATTGAAAAAGAAGGAGCGACCGAGGGGAACCCCAGAGGCTGCAACGAGAGTAAGATGAGCCTCCTCCTCCTCCTCCTGCTCCTGCTCCATCCTCCTCCTCCATCCTCCATCCTCGTCCTCGAGTGGTGGCTGCCCTTTCAGCTTCGTGCGCGAGGATGTCTATGGAAGGGCCAGCACCCGATCACGTAGGCGGGCGAGGGCCCAAGACGGCCTTGGCAGGTCCTTTCTACACGGTAGGAGGCAGGACCCGAGGACACTTGCTTGTCCTGGCTACCCTGTTTATCCTCCTCTTCCTCCCCTCCTCCCACCTCCTCCTCCTCCTCCTCCCTCCTCCCCCCTCCTCCTCCTCCTCCTCCTCCTTCTCTCTCCTCCTCGCCCTCCCCCTCCCCACCCTCGCCCCCCCCTCCCCCTCCCCACCCTTTCTCCTCCCTCTCTTCCTAGCCCTCCCCCTCCCCACCCTTTCTCTTCCTCGCCCTCCCCCATACCCACCCTCCTTCTCTTCTTCGCCCTCCCCCTCCCCACCCTTAGAGGAACAACAGAGTTTGGAAGTCCGCACGGGCTTCTTGGATCCGCGCTGGACCCCCCTCCCTGGCGCGCGGAGCGCGCCAAGAGCGGCGCTGGAGGCGCCGCCGGGGAGCTCCAGCGCAGACTTGAGAAATCTGCACGGATCTTCAAGTTTTGTGTGCATGCTTTTGACTATTCCCTTTTCAGAGCCCTCTTGGGCCGTTTGGGGGCCATCTTGGAGACATCTTGGGCTGTCTTGGGGCGGTTTTGAAAGCTTCTTAGGCCGCCTTGGATCGTCTGAAAGCCGAACATGCGAGAAGGCCAAGCTTCTGCAAGCACCTTTGTAACATCTACGATTTGGGCCTCTTGGGGCTCTCTCGGGAGGCCTCTTGGAGCGCTCTTGGGGCCTGTTTGGGCCCTCTTGGGCCGTCTTGGAACTATCTTCGGGCGCCTTGGAGCACTCTTGGCCTCGGCAATGCGAATACGGCGTAATTAGCGAAGGTTTATGGCTTCGGGGGCGCCCATTTTGTATAGTTGACGAAGGTTTGTTGCCTCGGGGACGCAACAATTGAGTCATTTACTCGGGTTTGTGGCCTCGGGAACGCGAACAGTGTAATTTACTAGGGATTATGGCCTCGGGGGCGCGAATCTCAAGTATTCCTACGTGTCCCACGCCCCCCCGGGAACTCAGAGAACGCGATCCGGGCGTGGTAACCGGGCGGTTTGGGCCCCCCCCCCCTCGCGCGGACATCAACCATTTTCAGTAGGAAGCAGAAAGCAGGACTAACATTGGAGGCTTGATACTGCAACGGGCGCAGGGATCAGCACACTTCAGCCTACAGCCGGCGGATTATCATTACTCGTCTTCGTTTACCACCTCTTGGTTTCTTACCCTCCCCGGTCAGTAGCCTGGAGGAGGTGGAACGATAGCCCCAGAGCAAGGCACAGATAGGCTTGCAGCCGTGGCCGTGGGAGGATGGAGGAGGAGGAGGAGGAGGAGGAGGAGGAGGAGGAGGAGGAGGAGGAGGAAAGGGAAGGATGGAAGAGGAGGAGGATGATGGAGGAGGAGGAGGAGGAGGAGCAGGCCATAGGACGGAGGAGGAGGAGGAGGAAAGAAGGATGGAAGAGGAGGAGGATGACGGAGGAGGAGGAGGAGGAGGAGGAGGAGGAGGAGGAGGAGGAGCATGCCATAGGATGGAGAACGAGGAGGGAGTGGCGCGATCGAACTGGGGACGGAAAGAATGGGGATTGAGGCCAGTTGCGGTTCCTTCCCGCTCTGAGCAGGGCTTGCTGTCGTGGACTGCCCGGGCTTCTGCCCATTTAGACGTCGCTTCCTCAACAGAGGCCATTGTCTGTTCTGGAAGACAGCCAGCTCGGGCTTGCCAGGGGGAGGCGGGGAGGATCGAGAATTTGGTTTCTTGGTTGTATTGACGTTTTGGCCCTTGGGCCTCTAGAGGTGGGAAGTGCAGGGATGGTTTACTGGCTTACGCTGCACCGCCGACTCCTTGGGGTCTCGGATGCTTCGCTTCGGGGGCGAGTTGTCGCAACGGTTGCTGGGCGGAGTGCGAAGCTGTCATGTTTGACCCTTCCATGGAGACGTCTGAGGTCTCCTGGTAGTTATTGGGGGGCATCTAGGGAGTCTGAGTTGCCATTTGGGGGGAGAGGGGTCCTGGAGCCGCTCGAAGTCTTCATCTTGGGCCACTTGAGAGGGCCGCCTGGGAGTCGGTTTGGGGACTTCTCAGGCCGTCTTGAGGACACAAGCCGCCGCCCTCCTCCTTGCTTCGGCTGCAAATCATGGTAGCCGTGTGGGTCCTCGTACCTCCGCCTTTAGAGTGCATTGGCGTGCGCTAGCGCCTGGTAGTTGATGAGACAGCGCCGATATAGCGTCGATTCAGCGACGATGTAGCGTCGATTAGCGTCGGGCACTGTCGATCCGCAAGAGACAGCCAGATGGCATGGGAGGCTCTCATGAGTTGCTACCGAATCTTGCTCCTCCTCCCCCGCCCTCATCCTCCACTCTCTCTTTCTGGTCGCCAACTTGCCCATCTCGCCAAGCATGCCGACGGCCGAGAAGAGGGGGAGGAGGAGGAGGAGGAGGAGGCCAAGGAGGAGGAGGAGGAGGAGGAGGAGGGCAAGAATGATGATGATGATGATGATGAGGAGGAGGAGGAGGAGGAGGAGGACGAGAAAGAGGGCAAGGACAAGGGCAAGGCAGAGAGGACAGGGACAAGCAGGGCGAGCCAACAATAGCCCTCGCCCTCCTCGTCGCCCTCACCCCTTTTCTCCAGGGGGGCAACACAAAGAAGCATGAGCTTTTAGCTGTCTGCGGCCCTCCGAAGCTCACGTAAGTACGCTTATGCTGCATGCTGCCATTTGGTTGTCACTCTCCCCACCGTGTCTGTCTACTCTCCCTCCTCGCTTCCCCTTCGAACACACCTGCTGGGGCGGGGTCGGCCCGCCTGCCCAGCCCACTCTTCTCCTCCTCCTCCTCCTCTTCCTCCTCCTCCTCCTCCTGAGTCGTCGCCCCCCGCTATCACCTCCCCTTTTGCCCTCCTCGTGCGGCCTGTATTGCACGCTGTCTGCGCGTCGTCGCTCGAGCGGGTAGTCTGTGAAGCAGCGCCACCGCTTCTGAGTCTCAGTGCTCGCCGTTGTGCCCGCGATCTCCCTCTGGAATTCGGTGAGCGGCGACTTCCTATCACCAGCCAGGCCCTCTCTGGGGTCACCGAATCCCTTCTCTTCGTGTTCCTCTCCCTCTTCTTTACCGTGGTGTCGTTTCAGTGGGTTCGGCGAGCGGGGTGGGTGGTTCGCTCTCTTCTCCCTTCTGCTCCTCCTCTTGCTCCTGCTCCTCCTCCTCCTCCTTCTCATCATCCCTCAACTCATATTTTACAAACCCCCTTCTCCTCCTCGATGGAGTGGAAGAGGGAGGGGGCGGCCTCGCGGAGAAGTCGCGGTGTGCGGTCCCAGTGGGGAGGAGGAGTTAGGCGAGGGGGGAGGACGAAGGAGGAGGAGGAGGAAGAGGAGGAGGAGGAAAGGGAGCGGAGGAGGAACCCACAACGCACCAACAATGTTGCAATCCACCTTCCCACCAAGTTCCCGCACCACGGGTCCTGGCAATAATTTGTTTTCCTTCAGCGAAGTGCCCCATTCGAAGCCAACCTTCCGAAAGTCTTCACTCGTGCCGAACAACTCCTTTGCATTCAGCGCCGCGAATCGACGTGGCTGTTGTGCCCTGACAGTCCTAAGCCGTGCCAGAATACAATTCCTGGGGCTCCACCACCGCGAATCAACGTGACTGTTGCGTCCTGGCAATCCTGATTCGTGCCATAACAGAAGCCTTGATATGTCAACCACACGAGTCCTTGAAACTGTTGCAGACTTTCAAGACGAATGCGCGCGGCGCAAAGGCGAGAGCCACAGTCTGAAAAGGAACCTGTTGAGGCGAAATTTGTTTTAAAGCTGTTGCGAAGATTGCAGACGAATGTGCGCGGCGTCTGGGCGAGAACGACATGTTCGAAACCACTCGCCCTCCATCCATGCAGATACGTGCAAACGTTTAAGACGAATTTGCGCGGCGCTACCCCGAGGAACACATTTCGACAAGGATCCGCACGCCCTCCCTGCAATTGCAAGTTTCAAGCCTCAGGGTTTCGAGTGGTGAAGAAGTCTGGGGCAAAGCGCCCAGCCCGCCCTACCGACACGTCCTGGGGTGCGACAGGGAGCACCGGTTTTGCGGGAAGTGCCCCATTGGAAGACGCACAATTCCTGAGACTCCAGCGCTGCGAATGAATCTGATTGCTGCGCCCCGACAATATTAAATCGTGCCAGAATTTCAGTCCTAGGACTTCAATTTCAACACCGCGAATCAAGGCAACTGTCGCGCCCTGGTTATCTTTAACCGCGCCGGGACACACTTCTGGGGACTTCAAGCGTACGAATCTTTGCAAGTGATGCAAGCTTTCAAGACCAATGTGAGCGGCGCCAGGGCGAGGGCCAGAATTCGAAAAGGAACCGCTATCCATCCTTGAAGCAGCTGTATAGTCAAGGACGAATATGCGCAGCGCTATAGGGCGAGAGCGACCAGCCCTCCATCCTCCATCCGTGGAGCTATGTGTTAACTTTTGGGACGACTGTGCGCGGTGCCACGCCGAGAGCCACGTTCTGACAATGGCCCGCCCTTCATGTGTGAAGTTGCTGTCAGTCTCGAGCTTCAGGATCATCAAGGTGAGGACGTCTCAAGCGAAACGCCCGGCCCGCCCTACCGATATGTATGGGTGCGTGTGTGGCAGGGAGGAATCACTTGTGTCAGAAAAAATGGATGGATGAGGGGGAGGGAAATGTAGGAGGAGGAGGAGGAGGAGGAGGAGGGGGAGGGGGGAGGGGAGGAGGAGGGAGGGAGGGGGGGTGGGGGAGGGGGGAGGGGTGGGGAGGGGTTGGGGTAGGTGGCCGCGTTCGAAGAACTCTGAGGCCGTCAGGCCTGAGTCCTGAGGGGAGGGGGAGGGGGAGGTGCAGGAGGAGGGGGAGGTGAGAAGTTGAGCGTGCAGGAGGAGGGGGAGGTGAGTGAGGAGGGGGAGGGGGAGGTGCAGGAGGAGGAGCGTCGCGGTCTGAGCCCTGGCGTCCGCTCCTAGCCAAGGGGGCGGCGCGAGGGTGCGGGGGCGCGACGATGATCGCGAATCGCGGGGTGCGATGCGCGAAATTAGGCGACTTGGATACCGACGACGACGACGACGACGACTACGACGACGACGGCGACGGCGACGGCGACGGCGACGGTGACGAGGACGACGGCGACGACGACGTCGTCGATTGTGGAGGAGGAGGAGGAGGAGGAGGAGGAGGAGGAGACATGAGGAAGACGGCAGGAGAAACGGAGGATAAAGAGGAGGAGGAGGAGGAAGAGGAAGAACAGAAGGACGAGGGGGGAGTTTGGGGCAGGGATCCCTGGCGCCCCTTTCCCTCGGCAGGAGTCGTCGTCGTCGTCGTCCGCGGCGAAGCCGGGCGTCGCGGAGAAGAGCGCGGAGGCGGGCGCTGAGGCGCCCGGTGCGGGTCCGCAAAGGGATGGAGGAGGGGGGGAAGGGGGAGAACAAGGAGGGGGAGGAGGAGGAGGAGGAGGAGGAGGAGGAGGAGGAGGAGGAGAGGAGGAGGGAGGCGAAGGAGGAGAGGCGGAGAACGGAGGCGGAGGAGAGGAGGAGGAGAGCGGAGATGAGGAGAGGAGGAGGAGGAGGAGAGGAGGAGGAGGAGGAGGAGGGAGGGAGGAGGAGGAGGGGAGGAGGAGGAGAAGGAGGGGAGGAGGAGGAGAGGAGGGGAGGAGGGGAGGAGGAGGAGGAGGAGGAGGGGTAGGAGGAGGAGGAGGAGGAGAGGAGGAGGCGGAGGAGGAGGAGGAGTGGAGGAGGAGGAGGAGGAGGAGGAGGAGGAGGAGGAGGAGGAGGAGGAGGAGGAGGGCGAGGAGGAGCAAAGGGAAGGGGAGGATAATGGGGACTCCTAAGGGCCTCTTGGGGCGGAAGGCTCGACGTGGTGGTTCGTATTCCCCCTCTTGGGCCCTTCTTGGGGCTGTCTTGGGGCCCTCTTGGGCGATCTTGGGCGCCTCTGGGGCCGTCTTGGGGCCCTCTTGGGGCCATATTTGGTGCCTCTTGGGCCGCCTTGAGCGTCGGGAAGCCGAACAGATGAGAACGTCAAAATCCTTCAAAAACCGAAGGGGAGTCTGTGTTTTTTGCCTCCTGGGGCCTCTTGAGACGCTTCTTCGAGACCTTTTTGGGCGTCTTGGGGGCGTCTGCGGCCGTCTGGAGGCTATCTTGGGCGTCTTGGACCCATCAGTTGGCGACTCGGGGCCCTCTTGGACCGCCTTGGCGACTCGAGGGCCCTCTGGGGGCGCTCTGGGGCGCCTGAAAGCCGCACCCAGAAGGAAAAAACATCTCTGGGCTGGACCGCCCGGGGTACTTTTCGTCCGGGGACCCCCAGGAGCCCCGCCCCGCGCGCGCGAACTAGAACTAGTATTTCCCAGTAACCGGGGATCTTAGCACGTCTCTGGCCCGTTGGGCCGTCGAGTTTGGTTTTTGAAAGGTTGGTGCCTAGTATTATTATTGTGCCGTCCTGGAGGTTCCTCGGGTTCCCCGGATTCTTGGGGTTCCCCGCCCCCGGTGCCTCGTATTCTTATGTTGCCCGTTCCTCGGAGGTTCCTCGGGTTCCCTGGGTTCCTTGGGTTTCCCGCCCCTGGTTGCCCGTTGCCCCACACGCATGCACACATATCATACGTTTATACATAGAATACAGTACAATACCACACCATACTATACCATACCATACCACACCATACCATATGGTACAGCACGATACGAAACGATAAGATACTATACCATACAATGCAGTGCAATCCAAGACAACACAGCAAAGCACAACACTAAACAATGCAATACAAAACAATACAATACAATCCGCGCGCCGCTCAGATGTGCATTCGTCCCCTCGCCCGAGAAATAAACCTCCTCTAGTTATTCTCCGCCCTCCTCCTCGCCATCCCCCCCAGATTCCTCTTCTTTGTTGCGGTCCGAGGACGAACCGTTATTCTTGACGTTTCGCGCATCGCCACCAGCCCATCCATGCACGATGCCCAGGGGAGTTGTTTGGAGGAGGAGCGCAGATAAGCATGCAACGAATCAGCGAGCACAGCGAACGCGAGATTCTGAACGCTTCGCGCATCCCCACCAGCTGGCACGACCCTCGCGCCATTTTGGCTGCGCCCCAACTTTGGTTGGCTAATTTGCATGTGCGCGCCCCTGGACCAGTTCCCTGGCAGCTGCAGCCTGCGCCCCCCCTCCCGCCGGCCCGCCCGCCGAGGCGCCGCCTGAGGTCGCCGGCCCGTCGGCGTTAGATAATTCGGCTCTTGCGCGGCCCGCTCGGACCTGACTCGCCGCTGGCGCTGTCGCCTGCGGCTGCGACAAAAAGTACCCCCACCAGCCCATCCAGGAACTGTGCACACAGGAGCTGCCCACATCGGGGAGCGCGGCATCAGTCGGATACCTCGGGGAGCTTCCGCGAACTGAAGGCCATTTGCATGCCTCTTGGAGTTGTTTGGGGTGTCTCATGGGTCTACCAGTGGCTTCTCAGAGCGTTTTGGGGGCCTCTTTGGGGTAGGCCTTGGGAGCCTCTTGGGGGTGTCTTGGGGGCTTCGGGCTCTCCTGGGACCCTCTTGGGAGCCTTGGAGCCATCTCGGAGGACAGCAATCAGAGAGGGGGGGTCTTTCGCGTCGCCCCACCGAGAGCCCCTAAAATCATCCCTCGGAGCGTTCGTGTACGCTCTTGGGCCATCTTGGAGCCTTCTTGGGCCCCTCGCGGGTCTCGCTTGGGCCTTGTTAGAGCCATTTTGAGGCCTCGGAAGGCTTCGGGGGCGATTGGGCGAGACGGCCAATCTCACTGATTCTCCTGAGGCTGCGTAAGGTTGTTGGCCTTTCGAGGGCGTTCTGAGGAGCCCCCAGAGCCGCTCGGACCTGCCTCGGAACGGTTTTGGGGCTTCATGGAGTATGTTGGAAGCCATCTTCAGCGACCTCGCGCTATAGTGTCTCGAGCCATCTTGGAACCCACCTCGGCCTCGCTGAGCCCGGGGGGCGTCCCATCCAGACCCGCGCGGTGGAGGCAGGGGGGGCGGTCAAGTTACCCCAAGCCGCAAGCCGCGTCGTTCGTGTCAACTCGCCCTCCCGCTACATAAGTAGCACCCCAGTCTCAGCACAGGCAGGAACAGCTATCTACTATCGACAACCATCGGGAGCCAGTGCAGACGCCGGCCATTGCGCGATGCCCGTGAGGTGCTCCGTACGTGCCAGGTGCACCACGCGTACCAGGTGCGCCAGGTTGGGCAACAGGTCGACCGCCCCACCATCCCTGTCAAGATTCAGTGCGAAGTGACAGCAGTTTTGCGCGCGTTGTGTATTGTGTGTGTGGGTACGCACCCACAATACTTCAGCATTTGTCTTCCACAGAGGTAGTGGGTTTGCACGCATCAGGCAGTGCGCGGCCACCCCTGCCGCCCCTGGCAAAGTGAACTCTGGATTATTTGTTGTTGGCTGGCGCACATCAGGCAATATGCCAGCCCCCCGCCCTCCCTGTCAAATACGGATGCAACGTAAATGCGGAGCGTCCGCGCATGACCCAGACTCTGGCGCATAGGGCCCTTTGCATGGTTTTTTGCCAGGGGCGGTGGGCGGGGTGGTGGTGCTGGCATTGCACGCAGCAGGCAGTATTCCAGCCCCCCGCCGTCCCTGTCTAAAACCATGCAAAGTGATCACGGGGAGTCCGCGCATGACCCTGACGCTGGTGTAAAGTGTACTTCGTTTTTTTGCAAGGGATGGTGGGATGGTGGTGGCGTTGCACGCAGCAGGCAATATGCCAGCACCCCCGCCGCCCCTTTCAGAAAACCAATGCAAAGTGATTGTTGCGCGCCCGTGCCTGACCAAGATTTTGGTGCAACGTGTATTGTAGTGGCCTCCGGCCAGTGCCGCCGATCCAGGGTGCTACCGGTTCTGCTTGCAACGGGTGACCTTTTCATGTTTTAAAGTAGAGCACTCGCTCGAGACATCCTCATCAGATAGAGATGTTGAACTCGCTTGGGCAACCTGCTGATATTGGACGATCCCGCGTGAACAGCCAAACTCATGGGCTGTCCCCTTCCGCCTTCCAGGCCTGAATGGCGTCAGCCATGGCGTTAGCCCCCGCCCCCCCCCGACTCCCCCGTCCCGGGCGCGAATGGCGTCTGCCATGGCCCCTCCCTCCCCTTTCCTTTCCCGGGCCTGAATGGCGTCAGCCGTGGCGTCAGCCCTCCCGATCCCCTTCCCGGGCCTGAATGGCGCCAGCCAAGGCGTCAGCCCCCATCCTCCCTTCGTCTTCCTCTTCCCGGGCCTGATGGCTCAGCCATGGCGTTCCCCCTCCCCTCCCCATGGCGTCAGCCCCCCCCCCCCGCTCCTCCCTCCAGGGCCTGAATGGCGTCAGCCCGCCCCCCCCTCCCTGGCCTGACGTCAGCTCCCCCCCCCCTTTCCTCCCTCCGGGTCTGAATGGCGTCAGCCCCCCCCCCCCCACATCCACAGAGCGAAGATCCCTCCCCCCTCCCTCCCTGGCCTGATTGGCGTCAGCCCCCCCCCACCTTCCCCTACAGGGCCTGAATGGCTCAGCTCCCCCCCACCCTCCCTCCTCCCTCCCGGGCCTGAATGGCGTCAGCCCCTCCCTCCTCCCTCCGCGGCCTGAATGGCGTCAGCCCCCCCCCTTCCAGACAGAGCGAAGCTTGAGCGAGCTCAAGCCCACGCTCCCAGAAACACACACGCCGGATCGGCGGATTTTGCATTTGTTTCTCAGGGATGCCAGAGGGGTGTTTTGTCATGGTCCCGGGTTTGTCGCCGGTCGGGTGGGGGAGTGGCTGTATGCCAATGAAGAACAGTGACAGACCAGACCTCTCCCGGAGAGGAAGAAGGAGGAGGAACCGCTCTAAACCGCTTACGCCCGAGAGGGTTGGTGGGATTAGATACCTTGGGGAGCCTGGTGTGCGAGGTTTTGGGAACTCAGCGGGCCCTCTCGAGATCCCTTGGGGTAGAAAAATAAACGATACCTTGGAGAGCCTGTTGGTGCCATCTTGGGGCAGTTTTGGAGGTATTGTGGGAGCCCTCTTCGGGGCCTTCGAGGGGCTAATTACCTCGAGGGACATTGATCAAAGAAGGAAGTGGCACTTACGTCAGCCCCCCGCGCGGAAGCTCAACAGTCGCTTTTTGGAGCCCTCGTTGGGCGCTCTTGGGCGCTCTTTTTGGGGCTCCCTTGGGCCATCCTGGAGTCATCTGGAGGCCTGAGAAGCCCATCGGAAGCGAAAAGCGAGAGGACGAAAACAGTGGCTCTCATCACGTTTTGAAAGGATGTTGGACTCGGGAAGGTCCTTGAGAGGCTCCGTGGCCGCTTGGAGCCCGCTTGGGATGGTCATGGCGTCTCCTGGAGGCATGTCGGAAGCAATCTTGGGCTGTCATGAGCGATCTTGGAGGCCATCATGGGCGAGATGTGGCCCTCTTATGGGCCATCTTGGGGCCATCTTGGACGCCCTAGCCCTGTGCGAGGGCTCGTGGCCACCGCATCCTCGTTTTGCTGCCTTCGCATCCTGATGCTGCAGATCGTTCGGAAGGTGCCTGGCCCCTCTCGGTGGCGCGCCCAGGGGGGAAGGCAGAGGGGACAAAGCTCCTCACATAATGGCTCAGAAGGGCCTCCAGCAGCTGTGTGAGGAGCTTTCTAAGCCTCCTCCGAAGGCACGGAGGGCCTTTGAGAGCCCCCGCTTCTCAGAAGGCCTGTCCACTCTCGCTTTCCCTCTCGGCGCGCCTCCAATTTTGGTTTACGGGTCATAACTCGGGCCTCCAGCGGCCCTGAGGCTGGAAACTTTTCGGGAACCGACGGACACATCCGAAAACCTTGAGCCTCGAACACGTCAGGGGCAACGATTGGGGCGATAGGCCGAGGAGGGGAGCATCGACCTCCGATCGCCCATTCATCGTGGATAGCCCACTCCGCCCAGGAAGGTGTGGTTTCGCTATTGGGGGCCTCCGATCTATCGGCGATGTATCGCCGATAGATCGGCGGCCGAGGTTTTCCTTCGGGGGCCATCGGCCCTTAGCGTAGCCCCTCCGGGCGCCCCGGGCGCCCCCCGGGCGCCCCCAAAGCTCTCAAATTTCCCCCCCCCCAGGCGCCCCGCCGCCTCGTCCTCGGCGTGCCTCGTCGTCGTCGTCGTCCTCGTCGTCCTCGTCCTCGTCCTGGTCCTCGCCCTCCCTTGGCGCGCCTCGCTCCTGGCGCGCCTCGCTCATTGCGGCACGGGCCGGCCGTCCGCTCCTTGGCCGCTCCAGCGGGTCGCCGTCCTCGTCTTCGTCGCTCTCGTCCTCGTCGTCCTCCTCGTCGTCGTCCTTGTCCTCGTCGTCCTCGTCGTTCTCGTCGTCCTTGTCCTCGTCCTCGTCGTCATCCTCGTCGTCGACGCCGTTGTCGCTGTCGTCCTCGTCGTCGTCCTCGTCGTCGTCGCCCTCGTCGTCCTCCTCGCCGTCCTCGTCGTCGTCGCCCTCGTCGCCGCCTCGTCCTCGTCCCCGTCCCCTTCGTCGTCGTCGTCGTCGTCGTCGTCGTCGTCGTCGTCGTCGTCCCCGTCGTCCCCGTCGTCCCCGTCGTCCCCGTCGTCGTCGTCGTCGTCGTCGTCGTCGTCGTCGTCGTCGTCGTCGTCGTCGTCGTTGTCCTCTTGGCTGCCGCGGCAGCGGCCGCCTGGCAGACGGGCGGTCCCCCTTCGGCCCCCTGCAAGGCCCCGCCCGCGCCGGCCTCCAGCCACGTGCCCGTCTTCATCGTGCCGAAGATCTCACGCCCAGACAGGTCGCAGCTTGGGGAGAGGAGGAGGAGGAGGAGGAGGAGGAGGAGGAGGAGGAGG